TACCTTAGCATCTTTACATTTCCTAAACATCATTTGTCATATTTACATATATAAGGTTGAGAAATAATAAATAAAAAAAATATGGGAAAATTAAAACCCATTGTATCCCTATTCTCAAGAATCACTGAATTGCTGCACCCCTATAAGTTAAAATTTTTTGATTTAGTATTTTATGGAACAATATGTTACATTGGGGGAACTGAGTATAAAAATGCCAACTTTTAATATGGAGCGGAACAAGTTAGTTAGTGACTGCAAATCTAATAATCTGGAACCAAATGTTGTTCAGTCATAGTAATTATTGAAGAAATGTTCTTATCTTTAAAGATTTGCTAACCTATAGCCATTCATACTGTTGTTAATTTGTTGTACTTTAGACACTGTACTTTCTGTAGTATTGTCTGTAGGTTTGTGTGTGTATTTCAAACAGTTCATTGTGGATGACTAGAAACTATTTATGAAATTGTATCCACAGAAAAACTTTAATGGAAGCACAATTTCTTCATTATTGACGATATATAACAGAAAATGAATCTGAACTGCATAGCTGGTACATATACTTCGAAGAACAATTAAAGTAATTTAAAAATATTACCACAACACTAGGAAAACAAAACAAAACAAAAAAACATTTGCCCTGGTAAAATGCCCTAGTGAAAAAAAAAATACTTTAGTATATTTCAAACATACTTACATTTGTGTAAGTACATTTTAAGTATACTAAGTATTAGCTGTCCTATCTATAAATATATACTAAGTATGCTAAAAGCATGATCGCGCCTTAACATAGCCATGGTAACACAATAATTAAACTACCAAGATTATTGTTTGTACTTTTACAAGATAGACTTCCTAAATAAATCCTAAATGTACAATTTAATTTTTTATCTATGCTGAAACCATTAAATAAGATTTAATAGCATTGTCATTCTCAATAAATGAATGCTAAATGACAATAAAATCTGTCTATTTCTAAAGTTTTAGATCTGTGCACTGTAAAAAATAAAACGTAGATTTTACAGTAAAACGTCGGCAGCTGGGGTTGCCAAAATTCCACCGTAAAACAAAAAATCTGATTTTACCCGTAAATTGTTTTTATGGTGGAATTTCGCCAACCCCAGTTGTCGGCGTTTTACTGTAAAATCTACATTTTTATTTATTTTTATGCATTGTGGGGTTGCCATAATTCCACCGTTAAAAAATTACAGATAAAAATGTTTTTTGCTTTACGGTGAAACGCCGGGAGCTGGGGTTACCAGAATTCCACCTTAAGTTTACAGTAAAATACTCGCTGTCAGTATTTTACCATAAGGTAAAGTTCTGTCCACCAAAACTTCCAGTATTTTACAGTATTTTCTAAAATAGGTAAATCTCTGTCAACTACAGCTGCCGATATTTTACCATATTTCCTAAAAGAAAAAAAAAAAAAGGTAAGATACCAGCAGCTGTGGTTTTTCCTTAGTAAAATTGGCCATATTCTTTTGGTAAATTAAAGATGCTGACGGTAGTGAAAAATTAAGTGGAATCGCCCTTTACTCAACTTTACCTTCATCTAAGCAGCAAGGCCTACCATACAGTTCTCTAAATGTATGACAAATCTATGGTTGACCTAAAATTAAATAATCCCAAATACATTATTTAATCAAACTCTCTCATAATGATGGTGGCGTCAGTTGTAGGAGTTTGCCCAGCACTCGGTGGATTGCCAGTTCAATACCTGGTCTTCCTTTAAGATTTCAGTTTGATATATGAAAGTCATTATAGATTTAATTATTAAAAAACAAATCAAAGTGTCACACCAGCATTCTAATCTATGTAAATTACTTTTGCAGTCTGGTTTATGGTTTTACATTATGGTTTATGGCTGATGTTTATACATGATATAAACATCATTTATTTTACTAAATAAAATGCTATTTTATCTAGTAAAATAGCATAAAATGATCTTATTCCATAACCAGCGACCTATGGTCTCTTTAACAACTACAGTCTCAGCTCAGCACTCTGTCAGCAGTAGAAACAGCAACTTTATCAATATACCCTTTTTAACTTTGAGCCCCTGCCCCTTCAAAGATCTCTGCACGGCCCTGCTGTATCCTAATTAATCAAACAGACATTTTCTCTGTTTCAACCATCCAACATACCAAAGTGAGTGAAAAATTTAATTGTTAATTTTTAAGCTAAGATTATTAAAATTTGCTCAGGAAAAATTCACCCAGACCATTTGGGACCAAATGTTTCTTGAAACAACGTTGAAGTCAAAGTCCTACTTGTTTTGCTTTTTGTTTGTTTGTTGTTTACTGCTTTTAAGCGGCCACAACAATCAACTTTGTGCATTGTGTTTGTTCTTCATTTCAGTGTTATTAACTTGCAGCCATAATGTTTAATTAATGAATTGGATAACTGCATCAAATAAAAGAGACAAAGCTGTAGCACTTCTTCACGCATGCTCCTGATTAGTCCATGCTCAGGGCTTCTCTGTGGCAGCTGTTATCACATCAGACGTGTCGTGGTTGCAGACTGGTGATGGCCTGAGATTTGATTTGTGAGGACTCATCAGGTAACCTTCTTGTATATTAATCTAAGAGGCCCATGCAGTTGAACTCGATTAGTCCTGATTTATTTATACTGTTAGATTATTTTAATTTGGGTTAAATTGATATAATTCCCATCTGATTGTGTACTTCTCGGTTTTATCTCATTCATCCATCCCTGCGATGGTACTCTTCTGGTGAATAACTTAAGTCTTCGTTGCCATCCTTGATGTGTTGCGTGCTTGTTGGTGTCGCCCTCAGACAGATGGATGCTTTGGGTCGCGCCTGAGATGAGATAGTGTCCTCTCTGTCTCCGTCGAACTGCTGCAGAAACGCGCACGCAGGAAAGACGTGGGCACCTTACCACTGGAATTTCATAGCCTATTGTTTTTGAAGCCTTGCTAAAGGAAATATTCTCCCTGTTCCTCCATCTAACACCACTTTTGGATGATGATTCCGCTGTTCTTCAAAGATGATGTGAGTTGAATCGGCAGGGAAGCTGCAGAGGAGCTGTCCGTCTCTCGAGGTGCTGATGCGGCTGTGACAGGAGCGAGTATGGCCGCCGGGAAGTTGTTGCTCTACACCGGGCTCTCCTTGTCTCTTTGTGCATTGGGCATGCTCGCCGTGGCAATGTGCTCGGATCATTGGTACGAGACAGACGCCAGAAGGTACAAGGAGCGATGCCGAAGTTTCTCCAGCCGCCGTAAGGACCCGGGCTTTATCTATATCCCCAACAACAGCCTGCCGCTGCGGGCCAGCCGAGTCAGCATGCCTCGCTGGGAGGACAAGGTGCTATTGGCCCGAAACCGAAGGCAGCTGTTCGCCATGAGCGCCGCAGACGAATGCAGCAGGCAGTATAACTCCACCAACATGGGGCTGTGGAGGAAATGCCACCGGCTTGACTTCGACCAGGTGATCGAAGATCACATTCGCAAAGGTAAGTGTATAAATTGGGAGAAAGTTGTGAAGAAACATATGTTATTTCCTGTCGCTGCGCAGAATACGTGTGTTGCGACATTTAGCATGTAAAAATAAATTAGGCCACCGTGTGGTGACTGGCCACTTGACCAAAAGGCAAGCAAGGGCATCAGCATGCGAGTAGATGGCAGGAGACTCTGGCTATGTGAGCGGATAGTTATCATTTTGTTTGACATGACGGGGAGCATTGCGTGTGAACTTCCAACGGATGCGATGTGACGCTTGCCTCAACCACACAGTGACATAATCATGGGATATATGGGAGTGCTAGCTTAAGCTCTCTACATAAAGCAGCGAGGTGTCTTCTGGTTTGTGTGGTACATATGGAGGTACGTAGCACACAGTACACACTAACTAAAAAAAAAAAAAAAGAAAAAAAAAACGGCTCTAATTTACGGTAAAATACTGGCAGCTGTAGTTGCCAGAACTTTGCTGTCTTTATATGGTAAAATTCTGGTAACCAAAACTGCCAGAATTTTACCGTATTTTGGAAAAAACAGTAAAATCCTGGCAACCAAAACTGCCAGTATTTTTACCGTATTTGCTAAAATACGGTAAATGTCTGGCAACTGCAGGTAAAATACCGTATTTCCTAAAATATGTTCAAATAAAAAATGAAAATGCAGTTTTGCTGCAAATACGGTCATATTGTCTGAGGCATAATATCTTGGCAACCATGACTTTAGCAGTTCAGAACTGTAAACATTTTTATACAACTTACTATAAAAACAACACATATACGGTACCGTAAAGATTAGTCTACGTAAGTGAAAAACACGGTCAGACTGTATGATATATTGACATTTTATTGTAAAAAAAAACAAACAAACAAAAAAAAAAACTTTATGGTAGATTACTGGTAGCTGTTGTTACCAGAATTTTACCATAAAAATTGCAGTACAACACACAAGGAAGTGTAATTTGTCAGCATTTCTATATGGAAAGTTATAAAGATAATAAGTCCAAATTAAACAAAGATACAGATTGTGAGTAATCCACTTAAATAAGCAATTTCTATTTAAAAAGGCAGTTAAAAAAAGAACCGATTCTATTTCCTGTCCAGTTTCTTCATGGTATTACTGAGATCTGGGAAAAAACAAACAAACAAAAAACAGCATGTGTCCATATAAGAAATAACCTATTGTAGAAGAAAAACCGGTGATAAAACGATTTTTGTTCTGGGTTGAGAGTAACAAGTCACTGAGTTCAGAGTTTGCTCAGGATGGTTGTAGTCTTCCCAGTCACAGGTTGAAATTGAGACTCACATGTTGTCAATCAGGTGTTTCCTCTCTGCTGGAAAACAAACAAAGCAAAAGTTAGAAAGATGCACTACATGAACATCATATAAATTCAGCATTTGCTTAAATGTTTGTTTCACCTTTGTTGACTTGCATATGGAGACTGATACTTCAACCAGGCGGTGTGATCATTTCTGACTGAAAATTCAGTAGTTCTTAAACCTTTGTTTGTTGTCGACAGGTGTGATCCTCTCTGCAACCAGTCAAAATACACAGACAAAAAACATAAATAAAAACAAGACCTGTTGTTTCAGGGAATTT